GAAAATTTTAAACTTCAAAAATAGTTAAAATCAAGGAGATCTATAAACATATGAAAATCTTGAAATTGGATGGCTTAGATAAGGTGTTTCAAGATGCACTATTTCTAAGACTCAAAAACTTTTTTTTTAATATTCATACATAATCAAATAGAGGGTTTTTCAATATTAAAACAACCTTTCCGATAGATTTTTAAGGTGCATCTGTAATTCTACATTTTAAGGTTGCAACCTTATATAAACTTTTCCCTTTATAATTATATATCATGGGTAATTTTAATTAGTTTTATAGTGGTTTATATCACTATAGACAAAGGTCGAGATAGAGTCCTTGATAGAGAGTTAGGGTTTCATATCGTTATGATATTGGAGTTGGTAGTAGGAGAGTTAGGGTTTCGTATTGTTATGATCTTGGAGTTGGTAATAGGAGACTTATTCAGTGGGAGATGAGAGAGGAGCAGAAGTCATGAGGAGAGTAGAGAGAGAAAGAGCGAGAGTAGAGAGAGATCATGTTTTTCGGCAACGGGCAAAATAAAATATCATACATAAGGTTTTTTAGTGATGAAAGTTTGTTTCTCATGAGCAGGGTTTGAATGAAAATAAAATATAGTTTGATTACTTCGTATAAAAAAATGATTATCTTTTCTTCTGGTTATTTTGTCAATAACAATTCGTAATTCTAGTATTTACCCAAAAAAATTCATAATTCAGGTATGTTTGATAAGCACAAAATATTCGGATTACAAGATTTAGATATTCTTTTGGTTAAAGCATTGGGCTTAACAAATCTCATAAGATTAAAATATTACCCCAAAATCAGTATCGAAAAACAGGTAGGACTTGTATTCCGTCTTTCACGAAGGGAAAAGCCCATTCCACTTCACAAAGAGAACCCATTTGAGAGCCGAGGTTTGACATGGGTATTTTTTGGGTCCGATTTTCTCTCTCTAAACCTAGCAATGGGGTAAGCGGTGCTGCATTTGTGATCTTCAAATATGTGTACGCAGTTAATAGGACAGTTCAACATTATGACCATGTAATTGTAGATTTGGCTTAATGAAAAATAGAGAATGTTTAGTTCTTATATTTGAGATTTGTTTACAGTTTTTTTATCCAAGTTTCTTTGGGTTTCTTGTTTATTTTATTTTGTTTTTTACTCTCTCTTTTTTTTGGATTTTATTTAATGCTTTCCAATTTTAACTAGTTTTTGTTTAGTGATTTCCATGCAATTTTGCTTTACTTTTTGTTTCTACCGAATTTTTATTGGATTTTTGTTTGGTGGTTTTACAATCATGTTCTTTGGGTTTTTGTGTACTTTTTTTACCCATTTTCTTGAAGTTTTTTTTTATGGTTGTTTTTACCAAATTTCTTCGTGCTGTTTTGTGTTTTGATATTTAGTTTAAAATGTGAAGGTGAATTCTTCACAAACTAAAGGATAGATTAGTGGGCACTGGAGATCTTGACTCAAGCATCCACACGGCCTGATCAGTGGGAGTGAGAGAGAGATGACTTTGTGATATGATAAATGGAAGATGGAGGTAGAGCCTTTCAATTACCCTTTGTTGAACCTCCGGAAATTGTGAGATACGGCTTTCCAGCCAAACATGCGTAAAAATATATATATCACAATCGGTTGTGGTTTCCATGAGGTTTCAATCTTAGACAATCTAATTAATGCGCACCTCCAAATTTTATCATAATATGTAATTTTGGTAAAAAAAAAAAATTAAGATTATCTCAAAATCTATTTTTATAAATAATTATAAAATTTTAAACTTCAAAAATGATTAAAGTCAAGCATATCATAAACATATGAAAATCTTGAAAATGGACGGTCTAGATAATGTATTGCAAGATGCACTATTTA